GGCCGGGACCTGTGCGAGGAGGGGCAGGACGAGGACTTCCCCGGGTAGGGGGGCGATGGGAGCGGTACCCCCAAACCCAGCCCCTGGAGTCCCGCTGACCCCCGGCCCTGTCCCCGCCAGGCCCCTGCCGGAGGGGTGCCCGGGGGCCGGGGGTGCCCCACGGCGCATGCGGAGGCGGCTGCCGGCGCTGGAGCGGACCGAGAGCACCGAGCGCTCGCCCGACGCCAGCATCGACCTCGACCTGGACGCGCTGGAGACGCCCTCGGGCAGCGACGGCTTCGAGTGGGAGGGTGAGACCCGGCCGGGGTGGGGGCGCGGGGGACCCCCGGGTTCCCCCCCCGGTGCCGTGCTAACCGGCTGCCCGCAGAGGAGCTGCCGCACGCCTGGGGCTTCGCCGAGGGGGCCGGCAGCCGGCGGGCGCCTGACGCCGAGGACGAGCGGCCGGAGGAGAGCGTGGATCTGAGCGCGGTGGAGCCCTACAGCCGGGTCCTCTCCCACGGGGGTAATGCGGGGACGGGCGCCCGGGGTGGGACTCCTGGGTCCCCTCCCTGAGCCCGCTGGGTCGGGGGGGACGATGGGCACTGGCTGTGCCACCCTCCGCTCCAGGGTACCACGGCGAGGGCTTCGGCGCCATCCTGCTCTTCGCCGCCTGCCACCTCCCGGACAGCAGCATCCCCCGCTACGGCTACGTGATGGAGAACCTGCTCAGGTGGGGACCGCGGGGCGGGCACCCCGTGCCTCAGTTTCCCCAGGGTGACAGGCCGGGCCGCCCCTCCAGGTACATCGTGGGCACCCTGGAGAGGACGGTGGCCGACCGCTACGTCCTGGTGTGCCTGAGCGGGGCGGCGGCGCGGGGGCAGATCCCCTCCTTCAGCTGGATGAAACGGTGCTACCAGGCTATGGATCGGCGGTGAGCGGGCGAGGGCTGCCGGTGAGCGTGCCGGGGGGGTGGCAGCGAGTGTGCCGGGCTGGTGCTGAGCCCTGGAGCATCCCGGTCCTTCCCAGGCTCCGGAAGAGCCTCCAGGCTGTGATCATCGTCCACCCCACCTGGTACGTCAAGGCACTCGTGACGCTCTCCCGGCCCTTTCTCAGGTAGGGTTGCTCGCACCCGCGCGCGCGAGGCCTCGCACGGGGACGTTCGCCCCCTCCCCAGGGCTTCCCGTGCCAACGCCTGGTGAAGCAGCCCCCTCGCACAAGGGCGTAACGAGCCGGGGGGGGCTCGGCTCCCCCTGCCATCTCCCGCAGCCCCACCTTCAGCGGCAAGGTCCGGTTCGCCGCCAGCCTGCGGGAGCTCTCCCGGCTCGGCCCCGTGGAGCCGGCGCACGTCCCCGAGCCCGTCCGGCGGTGAGTCCCCTCCGCGGGGCCGAGGGCGGGGGGAGCCCGTGGGGTGCCAGCCATGGATGCTTTTCTCTCCCCGCAGGCTGGAGCCTAGCTGGGACGGCAGCCGGGACGTGACGCGGTGACTGGGACACACAAGGACGAGCGGTGGCATCAGGGGCTCTCGGCGGGCCCAAAGCGGTGCCCAAGCACCCACGGGTGAATAAAGGACGCGGATGGGAGCGTGGTGCCCAGCGTGTGGGGGGGGCCTCGGCTTTTCCTGGCAAATTTGGCAGCCCCGGTAGCAGAGGAGGGAGGCGAGGAGCCCCGGGCAGCTCGCAGACGCGCTCCTCGGGCCAGCACAAGGGTTTTATTTCAAGGGTGCGTTGTTTTTCCCAGGGGAGGGAAAAAATCAAGCGTTGGCGCTTGGTTACCAACACCGAGCGTGCCGCAGGGCTGGAAAAGCCCAGCTCCGCACAGGAGCATCCCGGCGCGGCGTGGAGCATGGCAAAGGGAAAAGCCTCTGCTGCCCGGCCGTGATGCCCGGCACGTGCTGTTTAATATTTAATCCCGGCGCTATTTAAACTATATACACCCGCGCCTGAATTCGGGAGCCCGAGTCCCTCCTCGGGTCGGGCCCCGTCCTGCCTTGGCCGGTGCCGGTAAAACCCCGGTGGCGATCCCGGGCAGAGGCGACCCCACCACGGTCCTGCCTCCGAAGCGGCGGAGGCTGCCTAGTTGGTTTTTGTGAGCTTTAAAAAAAATAGATCCTAAAAAAGAAGGAAGGTGGCGGTTTGCTGGCGGTGGAAATGCTGGCTGGAGGCACCATGGGCTTGTTGATGGTGTCGGCACTGAGCCGCTGCCGGCCAGACACCGAAGCCTTGGGTTTAATCCCGGTTTTGCACCGAAGCGTCAGGGTTTAATCCTGGTTTTGCTCTTCTACGCCTTTCCGGGAGGGCACCGAATCAGCCTCGGCATCAGGACCAGCCTTGCCGCGATTCCCCGGGGAAACCGTGGCACCGCAGCCTGGCGCCGAGAGGGGCCCATGGGAGCCGCCAGCGTGGAAAAAGGGAAAACCGGGAGGATTTGGCACATTGTGGCTGCGCCCAGCAGCTCCTGGTGCGCTTTGGGAGGGCGGCTGCGTCCTTTCGGCTGAAATCCCAGTCCAGCACGAGGTGGGGGCGGCCGTCCCCGCTCCCTCCCGGTGTCACCGAACCGACGCCTCTGGGAAGGAGGAATTTGCCGGGGGGGGATGACCAAAAGCCACCAGGAGCCGGGCGAGGATCGCTCTGCATAAATTACCGCGGGGTTAAAGCGCTCGAGGTCGGCTTCTCCTCCAGCTGGGGGATCGGGCAGTTCAAGTTTGGGCTGAAAAAGCCAGGAATCTGCAAAGTCCAAGAGAGGCCGGGTTACGGAACCGCGCAAGCGGTAGCTCCTCGGGGTGTGTTAATTAGCGGCGGTGCCTCGAGGGGGACAGCGGGTGCTCAGCGCTGCCACAGCTGCCCGCACGGCCGCGTACTCACACGCTACAAGACCCGGGAGCTGCTCCACTGTCGCTCCCGACTGCCCTTGGACCTCATCTCCTGGACAGCGCCGGTCTGCGGGGAGGGTGCAGAGATGTGTCACTACCACCGCGAGACCCGTCACCCAACCGTGCCATCCCGCCACCCAAGCGTAAGACCTGTCACCCAAACATAAGGCCGCTTCACCCTGCCCTGAGACCTGTCACCAACCAGGAGACTCCACCACCCCAACAGTGATGCCAATCGCCCAACCGGGAGACTCCACCACCCCTACAGCAACACCGATCACCCAACCACGAGACCCGCCACCCCAACATTGACACCCATCACCCAACCATGGGATCCAGCACCCCAAAAGCAACACCCACCACCGAACCATGAGACCCACCACCCCAACAGTGACACCCACCACCCAGCCATGAGACTCATGACCCCAACATTGATACCCATCACCTGACCATGACACCCACCACCCCAAAACCAACACCCACCACCCGACCTGAGACCAACCACCCCAACCGCGCGCGTGGGTAGGGTACCATGGGCAGGCCTTCGCCCGCGGCCATGTCGCCAGAGCCGATGTGCGTCAGGTGGACGAAGTTCATGGGCTCCCCGATCATGGAGCGGTCGATCCGTCTCCTCCTCTTCTTCTGCAAGCAGATGAAGGCCGTCAGCCCCCGCCGAGCCCGCGGCTCCAGGACCCCAGACCCTCCCCAAACCGGCCCGGCTGAAGCTACTCACGGGCTGTGGCTTCTCTACGACGCAGCAGCCCAGCTTGTGCCAGAAGTCGCTCATATTCGCGGTGGCGTCCAGCTTCCCTCCCTGCCGGGCTGGCTGCCGGGGGGGGGACGTGGTCGAGGGGGCCGAGCCGGTGGGGACGCACCTGGGGGGAGGCAGAGGCGGGGAAGGGGTGCGTCACAGCTGGGAAGGGTTTGTCCCCAGGTGCAGGGACAGAGCAGATGATGGGGGGACGGGGACAGACGGGCTGGGGGTGCTGGGGTGCAGGGTCAGCCCCACGTCCTGTCCCGGGGCTGCCCCCCTGCTGCCACCCAGGTGATGCATCAGATTGGGGAAACTGAGGCACGGCACGGGGAGGAGCAGCTGGCTGCGGGTTTGAAGGCCGGGCGGGTGATGCCTGCAGTCCTGACTCCCCAAACCAACCCTAAAGTCACTTCCCATCCACCAAACAGAGCCTGAGGCCTCCAGGAGACCCCGGGCATCGCACAAAGACCCCCGAGGGACCCCGGGCATCGCACAGAGACCCCCAGGGGACCCCAGGCATCACACAGCCACCCAGAAGAGCTGTCCCCACAGCCAGGGCAGGATCTGGCCCCGGCCCCCCCCGGTGCAGGGCGCAGCTGAGGGATGCTGCGGCAGGATGGGGGGGAACGGAGGCGGCCGCGGCAAATCCCAACTCCCTGAGGCAGGCAGCTATAAATATCCCGGCCTTTCCGAAAAGGGGCCGGAGGTTGAGCTCTTCCGCTCCAGCTCGAAAAGCAGACGAGGGAAAAATAAACAGGGGCTGCCCGGCCGGCAGGGCTCTACCCCAAACCCCCCCGGCCCCGGCTGGGGCAGCCAAGGGGGGTGTGGAAAGGGGGGTTCACCCCCAAAATGGGTGCTCCCCCCTCCGGCGCAAGGAAAGGCAACTCTCTCACTGCAAAAGCACCCGGCAGCGCGCACAAAACTCACCCACCCACGAAGGGCCGTGGCCTGAGCCCAACCCTGTATCAGCCACCGGAGAGTCCCCACGCCGGCGTGGGGGGCAGCCAGCGGCTGCGCCAAGGCAAGGCCAAGTTGTGCCGGAGCTCGGCTGCGGCGGCAGATGGGTGCCGGACCCCACTGCGCCGGCAAACAGGAAAAGTCCCTTCCTCTGCCCCCACGCTGGCGCCGCCGGATGGGTCCAAAGTCCGCGGCAGCCGGCCGGCGCTTCCTGCCTG